CGGGCGAAGCAGTGGCGGCTTGCGTACGGGCTGTTTGATGAAATGCGTCAAAGAGCTTTGTCACCTGATAGGTACACTTATTCTACTCTAATTACCCATTTTGGCAAAGAGGGGTTGTTTGATGATGCTTTATCTTGGCTTCAGAAGATGGAACAGGATCATGTTTCGGGTGATCTTGTTCTGTATAGTAATTTGATTGAATTGTCAAGAAAGCTGTGTGATTATTCTAAGGCAATTTCCATTTTTTCAAGACTGAAAACATCAGGGATTACTCCTGATCTTGTTGCTTACAATACTATGATTAATGTGTTTGGAAAAGCAAAGCTTTTTCGTGAAGCTCGATTGTTGGTCCAAGAGATGAGGTCAGCAGGTGTTATGCCGGACACAGTGAGTTACTCAACTCTCTTGACTATGTATGTTGAGAATCAAAAGTTTTTGGAGGCTCTGTCGATATTTTCGGAGATGAATGAGGTGACGTGCCCTCTTGATCTCACAACTTGTAATATTATGATCGATGTCTATGGACAGCTTGATATGGCCAAAGAGGCAGATAGGTTGTTTTGGAGTATGAGGAAAATGGGAATTGAACCAAATGTGGTCAGCTACAATACTCTTCTGAGGGTTTATGGTGAGGCTGAGCTTTTCGGGGAAGCTATACATTTGTTTCGGTTGATGCAGAGGAAAAGTATTGAACAAAATGTTGTCACTTACAACACCATGATTAAGATTTATGGAAAGACATTGGAGCATGAGAAAGCTAACAATCTTATTCAAGAAATGCAGAACAGAGGAATTGAGCCCAATGCCATTACCTACTCGACCATAATATCAATATGGGGTAAAGTTGGAAAATTAGATCGAGCAGCTGTGTTATTCCAGAAGCTGCGGAGTTCTGGAGTTGAAATTGATCAGGTTTTATACCAGACAATGATTGTAGCATATGAGAGAGCTGGTTTGGTTGCACATGCTAAACGTTTGTTGCATGAGTTGAAGCGGCCTGACAATATTCCTAGAGAAACTGCAATAACGATTCTTGCTAGATCTGGACGAATAGAGGAAGCAACATGGGTGTTCAGACAAGCTTTTGATGCTGGAGAGTTGAAAGATATTGCAGTTTTTGAGTGTATGATAGAGTTGTATTCCAGAAATAGGAAGTACACTAATCTCATTGAGGTATTTGAGAAGATGAGAGGAGCAGGATATTTTCCCAACTCTAATGTGATTGCTCTAGTCCTTAATGCTTATGGGAAGTTACGAGAGTTTGAAAAGGCGGACATGGTATATAAAGAGATGCAGGAAGAGGGATGTGTTTTCTCGGATGAAGTTCACTTTCAAATGCTAAGTCTTTATGGTGCGCGAAAGAATTTTGAGATGGTTGAGACACTGTATCAGAAGCTGGACTCTAATCCTAATGTTAACAAGAAAGAGTTGCATCTAGTTGTTGCTGGCATTTATGAAAAAGCAAACAGAGTGAATGATGCATCTCGAATTGTTAATCGCATGACTTACAGAGGAACTATGGGATCTTAACTCGACATGATGCAATTGTAACAGCTGTAGATATTTTTATACATTGATTTTGCCAGTATGATTGATTGTGTTTGTAATGATATGCATTAAAATACTATTGTGACTGTTTAACAATGATCTGATCAGATAACAATGCCATCACTGAGTTTATTCTCTAATTCGCCGCATAATATTATAGAGAAAATATGTCTTTCCCTAGAACAAAAGTAAAAGTCTCAAAGATATACTGGTACAAGTTTAAAGAGTTCTTCTCTTTGAGCTAACTACACCCAGATCTACCAGTTCCAAGTCCCTTAGGAGGGGACAGCTGGATCTTCTTTTATCCCAGAAAATTATATTTGAATTTTTTCAAATTAGGATAAGAAAACAGATTCAATTGGCAGTAAATATAGGCAATGCTTATCTCCATGTACTATAGGAATTAAGAAAAGAGACAGAAACATTAACAATACATTGAATGAGTCGTCAATCTTTATTCATAGGTCTAAAATCTGAATCTTTCACACACAGTTAAACAATTGGAATAACCATAAACATTAATTAAATGAAACAAAATAACAAATTCTTTGGTGTCAACAAAAGATTACTTATCATTGAGCAGAGTACTGTTGAAAAGGGTTAGACTCTCAAAATCTCGAGAGACTTCTAGCTGTTCTTGAATCCCCAACCTAAATACATGACTGGAAGTTGGATATGCCAATGAATTATGTTTATCAAAATCAGGATATATGATTCCTTGACTGGATTCACTATCACTAGAGAAAAATGGTGCCGTCATTATCCCATTACCAACAGAATTATTTTCACTAGACGAAAGTCCTACATGTTGTTGCCTATAGATAGCAAGCTGAGCGTATACATACTCACGTTCTTGTAAAGCAAGCTGCAACTGTTGGCGAAGATAAAGAATACACTCAACACAACCATAGACGGGGAACTTCTCCCTCATATCAGACTCGAAAATGATGGATTTCATGGCATCTGCTTTTTGATCGTCACCATCCAATTGCTCGAGTGTTTTCACTATATTACGGACCCCGAAAAGACGATGTGCATTTTGAAACTTCTTGGGTTGATCTGCTGGGAAATAAGAAGCTAACACACATTGTTGAGTGCATTTTCTTCGTTGGTATTTGCATGCAGCGCAAGCTGGCCGACTTGTCTCACCTTTAGTCATTCTCCAAAATTAGTCGAGAGAATGATTAACCTTTCACTCAGATATTCGGTATCCTTATGTATATCGAGATTGTGAAATGGACCAAAGAAGTATAAACGTATTCCCTTGTTGTTGAAGTATGGAGGATGAAAATGAAAGTGAATGGTTGCAGCTATAGTACTATATGATGACGAGAAAATGCAAAAGTTAAACACACTTTTAATTAGTTTGGGATTATGTTTAGCAAGACCAAGTAAATATTTTGAAATCCGCTTCTAAAGGAAGTTTGGTATTTGAACTTTAAATAGAAAATCTAGGTGTCACACATACGTACATTTAGCACGGAAAATGGTGTATATATCCTGCACCATATTAGACTGTCGAATTTTTTATTTTTTTTTGGTTTTGCACCCGGTGTGGTACTCGCATTGGAGCCCGACTATATCTGGATTCATGCCACGTATGGCCTCATTCGAAGGGAAATGCTCCCTACCAAGAATGACCTCTGATTAAGAGAAGAACAGTCTCATCCAATGCACCACATCCTTTGGTGGTTAGACCGCCATTGCGATAGCCCTAATAGATTAATCATATCTAATTGTTGAGTAATTCTTGGGTTAATCATTATTTATCCATGAAGTTTGGTGATTCGGAAACTAATTTGATTTTTATAACTCCATAAATTAGAATTCTACGTGGCTAGTTTTTGCAACTGATTATGAACTGATTTGCCGTGTGGAAGTAAAGAGGCTCAAAGTATTTGACTATTTCAGAGAAACTGAAAGGAAAACGTATGTATTTGAAAGTTAGTTTTTTGGATTGGATACATCCCTTCTTCTAATCATGGAATTCATTGACCACTTATCTTTCTAAATTTCACTGTGGTACTTTTCACCGTACGAATAGTGAGACTGTTATAGAAACTTAACTCGAAACGTGGCCAGATTCATTAATTCTAAGGATACATTGTTTAGTTGGATTATCCCGTTAAATTTGAATTATACTCTTCTAATTCTTTTTGAAAACGATTTTTAACCTTAGTAAATGCCTAGATTCATGTAGGAGTAGGACTTCTACCATCTGGCAGTGGGAAAACAACCTTGTTAAAGATATTGTCCATTTTTATTTGTTCACTAAATATTGTATCGTTTTAATTGTTCCTTAGATGAAAATTATTGGTTACACTGCTCATTACTGACAAACTATGAAACAGACTAACTTTTGGGTTTTTTAAGCTTAATGTAGCTTAAAAGAGGGTGAATAGAAAATGGAGGGAAAATAAAAATTTTACGTTTCCTTTCTTGACAAAAGGACATTATCCCATATTGGAAGAGGAAAAGTTTTTTTATGGGTATATTTATAATTGCTCTTCTTCTAGCTTTTAAAGAGTTAAGAAGAAGGCAAGTATCGCGCCGTCGTCACTCGCTCGGCTTCGGATTTGGTCAAATGATTGATTGATTAATTTTTTGGACCAAATTTATTTGTTAATAGTAAATATTAACGTAATATTATTAAATATCTGTTTTTTGTAAACGAAAAATTAATATTAAATCCAACGGAAAATTAAGTGTCCGTTTTTCGTTTTCCGTTTTTGTAACGGAAAATTAAGTTTCCTCCGTGTTATGAATTCCCGGTTTATTGTTGCATGCCATTTATGTTATGGCCGTTTTACGTAAACAGCCCTTCTGAAGAGTTGCACCTCTTCAAATTGAGCTCAACATATTGGCTATAAATAGCAGTCCATTCTCCCAGATTTTCCATATGAATTTCTGAATTCTCCTCCTTTCTTCTGCATTATTTTAACTACAAAGAAAGCATCAGTAAGTGTGATTTGCTACCGACCATTGTGTTCGCTGAAACACTAGGGTTTGACGTACCGATACACCAGTGTGTAATTCGTTTTATCCTGGGAGGAAATAATCCAAAACCTCGGGTACAAGGAGGGGATTAAGTTCCTTAAGAAAACACCGTGAATTTAATGGACGCGAATTAAATTTTGTTTCATTTACATTTCTGTTATATGTTATTTTATATTCACCATACTTATTTTACGAATACAGTATAGTAACACTTGCAAACAATCCACCATAATTTTTACCTGTGATTTTGGTAAACATAATTTGGATTTCTAATTAACTTAGTACTGACTGTCAATTTTGAATTAAATTGCAATCACAGGCATGATTCCGTATAATTCCGTAACGTTGATTTGGTCTACGAAAACCTTCAGCAAACAACATGTTGTTTTTCTGTTGTTGTTTTTTTTCCCAAATGTTATAACACAACAATCTTGTTAAAGAACCCAATTGGAGTATTTTTTATTTTTATTTTTTAAGCTGAAAAGTCAAATATACGAGGGATACATATACCAAGCCCGATGCATCCAAGAAAATTAATTTCTGAAGTCAACTCTTCCAAGTCGTCGATTTGAACTGGTTCAATAGTACGTGTTTTCAATATTAGAGAGCAGAGTCCTTTAAATCTAACTGACCACAAGAACAAGATAAGCACCAAACGAACATTGCTTTAACATACAGGAAAGTAAGAGAAATTGACAATGGAGTTCTTCAACAAAGCTAAAGTTATTAGACTCAAAGGCCATTTGGGCAAATACCTCGTCGCCGATGATGACGAACAAACCGTCCGACAAAGCCGTAACGGTTCATCAAAAAAGGCACGTTGGACAGTTGAAATGGTCGCAGACAATCCTCACCTCATTCGTCTCAAGAGTTGCCACGAGCGTTATCTCTCGGCTTCTAACGATGCTTTCCTTCTTGGAATGACTGGTAAAAGAGTACTCCAAACCTTACCAAATAGTGTAACGGATGGTTCAATAGAATGGGAGCCAATAAAAGAAGGATATCAAGTAAAGTTAAGGACAAAGGGAGGGAAATTCTTGAGGGCAAATGGAGCAACACCTCCTTGGAGAAATTCTATAACTCATGATTTACCTCATAGAACTGCAACTCAAGATTGGGTATTATGGGATGTGGATGTAATTGATATATCAGTAACGAACTCTGAATCGTTACAGAGTTATCCTTCATCTTTATCGAGCTTCTCTTCTTTTGCCGATGATGATTTTACAGATTATTCAAACAATCGTCGCTCTGTTTCGTCAATTAACAATTGTCCATCCATTGCTTCTGATCATTCTTCACATCCAAGTTCAACACAGGTAACGAATTAAGATTCTTTAGCATATATTTCATGTGTCTCTCTTAGTCTTCCTGAGCCGAGCGTCTTTCGAAAGCAGCCAGTGGCGAAGCCACATGCCTTCGTCGAAAAATTACACTATGTATATAGTTAAAACATTACACTTTAGAAGTACATAACATATATTGAACAACCTTTGTCGGGATTTTTTTTCACTTCTTTCAAATTTGAATATCGCTGGTTAGGATAAGATCTGTGAACACACTACCCTCTGCAGACCCCACTAGTGGGATTTTAGTTGTTAAAATTTCTGGCTCTACCACTGTCTCTAACCATGTTGCTTTGACCTGTGAACGTAGAATGGGATGGAATTTTTTGAAAGAGCTAAAGCAGTAAGACTTCAAAGCCATTTGGGGAAATACTTAGTGGCGGACGAAGATGAACAAACTGTTCGACAGAGCCGAAATGGGTCGTCGAATCGGGCACGTTGGATAGTAGAATTAGTTGCAGGAAAAAGTCACGTAATTCGCCTAAAAAGTTGCCATGGTTTGTACCTAACAGCAACTGAGCAGGCATTTCTTCTAGGAATGACTGGTAAAAAAGTTCTTCAATCTCTTGCAACAAATAATATGGACTCTTCTACCGAATGGGAGCCAATAAGAGAAGGATTTCATGTAAAGCTTAGAACAAAGGAAGGGAAATATTTGAGGGCAAATGGAGCTACACCACCATGGAGAAATTCTATAACGCATGATGTTCCTAATAGGACAGCTACTCAAGATTGGGTTTTGTGGGGAATAGAAGTTGTGGATATTATTATTTCAGATACTACTGATATTAATTCAGTGTCAAGTTGTTTATCGCCTGCATCAAGTTTTAATTCTGTTCTAGATGATTATACAGCTTCTCCTGATATTGGATCCCCAAATGCAGTAATCTATCAATCCCAAAGGTCTGAGAATACAACCATGAAACAGGTACTATATTTGTGTTTAACTTTTATGCACTATCAATGTAAGCAAAAATAATTGTTCAAATAAATAAATTAGTAACCTGAAAAATAAAGTCAATAACATACTACAATAAGCTCTGAGAATTATTTTTCTTGAGCCGATGGACTTTCGGAAACAACTTCCCTACCCCACAAGGTAGGAATAAGGTCTGTGTATACATAACCCTACACTGAGTATGTTATTGTTGTAGTAACATACTACCATAAGCTAAACTAGACCAATTTTATATAGATATTTTTTATGTCAATATATATAAATTAAATCCTTTTCCAATTAGCAACTATGGCAAATCTCTCGTTTTCTCCTCCGTCAGCTGGTATATTTTACCAAAAAACGTCAACGTTTTGCTCCAAGTGTAAATACTTGATTTTTAGTCTTCTGCTAGAATGAGGGTTGCTGTGTGTTGTGGGGTCCAGCATCCCACTAGGCCACGTACTGGTCAACGACCCAATTCAGTAAAGTCAACATGCTAGGCTGGAATATTTACTTTTCCTTAGTTCATTAATTTTAGTAATTGAAATTTATATTGAATAATCAATTGTCAAACGGGAAAAAAAGATCATCACTATAGTCAAAACCATATAAAAACTTGAGCTGGCCCCGCCTGAAGTCATAGATTCTAAAGTGACGGCAGTGGATTAAAAAAAATGAAGCAGTTTATAAAATTTTAAACTATTAAGTGAAAGAATGCTGCTTATCTTATGTTTCACGTTACTAATTTCACTTGTTATAATAATATCAATAATTATATATTTTCAGTGACTTGATATTATAATTTTTTTTTGAAAAAAAAAAAAAGCTTATGTGACGTGCTTTTAATAACCGCTAATGCACACTTTCAGATTCAGTTTCCTTTTTTAGCATCAATTTGCAGATCTTTCTTCCACTCGGATCGTTCTCTGTAAATATTCAAAGAGTCTCTGATCCAGGTGGATTTCTAGATTAAAAATTTCAGTTTTTAATTGTGTTTAATCATTGCAATTGGATGTTTTTCTCAACCATTGCAGAATTCTGGGATGGAATTCTTCAAAAAAGCCAAATCCGTTAGGCTAAAAAGCCACCATGACAAATTCTTATTAGCTGATCCTGATCAAGAAACTGTGTACCAAGATCGCCATGGAACTTCCAGAAGTGCAAAATGGACAATTGAATTTCCTGAAGAAATCGAAAATGTAATCCGATTAAAGAGTTGTTATGGCAAATATCTAACAGCCACAGATGATCAAGTCCTTCTTGGTGTCACAGGTAGAAAAGTTGTTCAAAGTTTGCCTAGAAAATTGGATTCTTCAGTTGAGTGGGAACCAATGAAAGATGGATTTCTGGTGAAGCTTAAAACTAGATATGGGAATTATTTACGCGCAAATAGTGGATTACCACCTTGGCGAAATTCAATTACACATGATATACCTCATAGACATCAAGATTGGATCTTATGGGAAGTGGATATTATTGAAATACTGCCTGAATCAACAGAAAAAATTACAGAATCAGAATCATTAGACGATTATTCCAGCTCTTCTTTTCATTTTACATCCCCCACGTATTCCAGGACTGAGGTTAGTTTTAGCTCTCTCTCAAAAGATAATGTCTTTTTCTCTAATCATACTGTAAAATGAGATAACAGCAGAGTTATTATTGTTGATTTTGCAGTCAAGAGATGCATTTGATGCTTCCCCGGTGAAGGCTGAAGGTCGACTAATATATTACCATGTGGCGGATGAAAATGGAAATGCAAATGATGCAGTGGAAGGACCTTCTTTTCAGTTCAAAGGGCATGGAGTAGAGGAACTGACACAAAAGTTGGAGGAAATAACAGGGATGGAGAATATTACTGTCTGTTCGCGCAACAAGTTCAATGGGAATCTATATCCTCTTAGGTTAGCATTGCCTCCAAATAATGCGAATATGCATGTTGTGGTAGTGCCTGAATCATCCAAAAGTTAGTATATTTGATCATCTCCTTGAGAAAGAAGTTGTATATTGTGTATCTCCTTGAGAAAGAAGCTGTATATTTCCCTTTTTCGTTTCTCATGTCTCAAGCTGGAAAGTTATCCCAATGTCCTAGATACATTTTTCTTAATTCACAGCTATTTTCACAGAGGCAGTTGCAACAACTTGGTTTTTAATTCATGAGCACAAGTCTATACAAGCCCTTTTATAGAAGGTTTTTCGGGGTGGAAGTCCTAATATAAAATGGTCTGTCTTTGTTATGCAATGCTGCTAGATGCTCTATGTTGGCGTGCCTAGAGCACGAAGGTATAGTGGTGGTATAAAAATTTAATACCATTTTAATACTTTATTTGGTTAGCAAACCTGGTATAACTTATCCCGGGATTAAAATTAGTATCGGGATAACTTACCTTATAAAGGGTGGGGTAATTAGTGCCGTGATAACTTATACATTCTTCTTAGAAATTATGCAATTGCTATTTTTAATACAACATATCAAACGGCGAATAAAAAAAAATACCAGAATAACTAATCTCGGCATAACTTATCCCAGCATAACTTATCTTATCCCGGCACAAGCTGTATTCAAACCAAACGAACCCTAAGTCTATTCCATTGGTTAGGTTTTGCATCTGTTCAGTAAAAAAAAAGTGCAGTGTTTAGTACTTTAGTCTCATGACTGGTCGATGACAGTAGCTTTGTGATGATGTGCAGTCGGAAAACGATTGATTGAAGATATTTCCACTTCCAGATGGTCAGCAAGGCCCTATCCTGAAACACTATCTGGCTATTGAAAAGCAGAATCAAAATCTATATTCTATTCCTACAAGAGCTGTCTCTAGTATTATTTTAGTCTACACTAGTATGGAATGGCCAGTGCTGAGCCCGGGCCCGAACCTAATAATGCAGTAATTTATACTTCCTCCGTTTCAATTTATGTGAACTCATTTGACTGGGCACGGAGTTTAAGAAAAGAGAAAAGACTTTTGAACTTGTGGTGTAAAATGAGGCACATATATTTTGTGTGGCTATAAATCATTGCATATAGGTAAATTGTTTCCAAATAAGGAAATGTGTCATTCTTTTTGGCACGGACCAAAAAGGAAATAGGTTCACATAAATTGAAACGGAGGGAGTATTATTTTATGAAAGAAGTGAATAATTTTTCATAAAGTGTACTATGATTAACCTGGGGAATTGAGATGCATACATGAGTTTCGTGCATTTAATTCTGATGATCATGCTAATCACAAGCCTAAGCTCACAGATTCGGAAACATGGTTTGGCATCCAAGAGGAAGTAGTGGATTATTTGGTATACCAATATGAGACAGAAAAAAGATTACAAAATGTTAACTGAAAATGAAAATTATATTCTTATTGTTGGGGAAACCTAATGTATATAGTGTAAATGAGTCACAACTAATATACTAAAAAAATTATGGTAGACACCAAATAATAAATAAGACAATAAAGCAACAATAAAAGGAACACCAGAATTTACGAGGTTCGGTGAATTTTGCCTACTTCCTCGGACACAACCAATATTTTATTCCACTCCAAAAATACAAGTGAAATAATACTAAAGAGAGAAGATACAAATGTCTTAAGAAGATAAGAAGGCAAATGAGAGGTGTATTTAAATCCTAAATATTAGGCCTTCTTTTATAGGGAGAAATTCTTCCCAAATTAAGTCTCCCACCGATGTGGGAGTTTGCCATTTTCAACAAATCTCCACCTTGGCAAAATTCCACATCTTCAATTTTCTCTCGGTAATAAATTTTGGTTGTGTCTTCATCTTCAATCTTCAGTGTTCAACAATGTTGATCAAATCCAAACAATGTTGAAACTTGACCGCAGTCACCACCTTTGTCAGCATATCAGCAGGATTCTCTGTAGTATAAATTTTCTTCACCGTGACTCCACATTCTTCTATGATTTCTCGTACGAAATGATATCGAACATCAATGTGCTTCGTCCTTGCATGATAAACTTGGTTCTTCGCTAATTGAATAGCACTTTGACTATCACAAAAAATTGTGATACCTTTTTGTTCAACACCAAGCTCCTTTAGCAATCCTTGAAGCCAAATTGCCTCTTTCACAGCATCTGTAATAGCCATGTACTCTGCCTCTGTTGTAGACAAAGCAACTGTTGACTGCAAAGTAGACTTCCAACTAACTGGTGCCTTTGCAAAAGTAAACACATAACCAGTAGTTGATCTTCGTTTGTCCATATCACCCGCAAAATCTGAGTCACAATATCCAACTACAGACTGATTGTCTTCCTGCTCAAAAACTAACCCGACATCTACAGTATTATGAATATACCGTAGAATCCACTTCACAGCTTGCCAATGCTCCTTCCCTGGATTGTGCATATATCTGCTAATAACTCCAACAGCTTGTGAAATGTCAGGTCTCGTATAAATCATTGCATACATCAAGCTACCAACAGCATTTGCGTATGGTACCCTTGACATATACTCTTGTTCAGCTTCATCTTTTGGCGACATAATAGTACTTAGCATAAAATGGGGAGCAAGTGGAGTACTAACTGGCTTAGTCTTTTCATCTATGCCAAAGTGCTCTAGTACTCTCTTCAAATATTCTTTCTGAGATAAACAGAGTTTCTTTGAACGTCTATCTCTTATTATCTCCATGCCAAGAATTTTCTTT